GGTTTTACCCTTTCTGGCAATTAAACAAGAGTTGTGTTAAGGTGTTCAAACACCAAATAGATACCTTTTGCACGACATCAATTCTGCATTACCCACACGTACTTGGGGCAAAGGCGGTCTTGCGTGGTGCTGGCCACCAACCCCCTCGTGTACCATGCTGGCCTTCATAGGTAGGCCTCGGCAAAGTAAGGTAAAAGTTAAAAGGTAAAAACAATTAGCCTACCTTTACCCTACATTTTACCTTACCACAATACAATCACTCTACCCTACCTTTTACCCTTTAGCAGGTAAGGTAAAAGGTAAAAAGCAACGAGCCTACCTTTACCCTACCTTTTACCCTTATCCCATATAAATTAACCGATTACAGGGTAATTACTAGGGAACTACACATGAAAAAGGTTTATAACGGTAAATGCTAGGTAGAGCGCTTTATTCATATAGAATACCCTCGATGATTCCAATTTTACACGCTTGTTGTCGTTGTTGTCGTCATCGTCGTATCTTCAAATCTTGTAACTTAATTTTAACCCACTTCCTAATGTGGTATCGACTGCAAACTTGGTATACTTATGTCATACTGATGACAATATATTCTATCATTAAAAAAATATGTATTTTTTTTACATTATTTTTTATATGTTATGTTTCGGCTTGGGTCTAATTGTCCACGCTCAACTCACGTTGGCTGTAATTGACCACAGTCCCTTACGTTATGGCAAGCTTCGGGACCACTTCCTGGAATCGTGGAGTTCTGCCATTACTCGTACATTTCATAAAAGCGTGTTTAATTTTTTTAATATTACTTATTAAACAAGATACCGTATTTACCGGGTAATATTTCGCGCTAACTTTACCCTCCCGGGTAATTCTTCCGAGCTACCTTTACCCTACCCTTTACCTTACCCCTTGGCATATCGACACCTTTACCTTTTACCCGGTAAAAATGGTAAATTACCTTACCTTGCCGAGGCCTATTCATAGGTGCTCGCTACCAGCAATTGTCCCAACAGTCTGTTATGGCTATACTGGGGATCTTTGTCTTTGTGTTTTTTTTTACTTTGTTACTCTGTTGAAGCTCGCTATTCGCTTTTAAGAATTCACGACAAACGCTCGACGAAATTAGTTGTGGTGATGTTGGTGTTTTCAAAAAGGTGTTGGTGTAGCGACCTTGGATGGCCGCATTTCATCCGTGGGTGAGTGCCAGACGGACCATGATATGGTGGACAATAAGGGAGAGAATTACATCTTAATTTCCATCACACTGGGTGGGTCACACATGATGTGGAAATTAGTTATCGTGGTCGTAGAAGAGGAGCCATACCTTGGCTCTCCAGGGGAACGTGGTACAGCAAATGTGTACGAAATCCCCTGCTCTGTCTGTTGCTCGCTCACACCCAGTGCATTTTCCCGAAGAGAAGCCAGGTTTCCTTCATCAACTTTACCGTAGAAAAGGAAAAATGCGTTTTGCCTACGATAAATTTTCAATGTTCATGCCTTGGCATGTTACGCAGGAGTGACTGTGTTGTAGATGGAAGTGCACCAGAAGGGTTAAGCCTTGATATGCAACGGAAGTCATACGATTTATTGACACACCTGGTTTTGTAAGTGATATCTACGTCTATTCTTGACCATGATGAAGAACTGGGTTATGGATATGCAACGCACCGCACCTGTACTCACTCGTTCAGCGTTAAGAAAAGATAAACTCTCGCAATGTGCGCAGCTGCACCTGTCGATTTACAGGACAAATTTGGTACATTTGTAATGTAGCTCTCAGAAACACCGTCTTGTCTTTCCGTATATTTATTCGAATAAAGTCCACTGACAATTCAACGAGTAACCACGATGACTATATACACTTGGTTAGTTAGACGACTCTATTCTGGGACAACATAGCTTCTAGTCTCAAGACATCTCGAAGACGATGGAGACAACCTGTTCCAAGGCGACAACGACGACGGCGATTCCCCACACCAACAGCCCCCCAGCCCCGGTTCACGCCGGCTCTTATGCCTCGTCCGGTCCGGCCACGCCCCTATTCTCGAATTCTCCTCGTCGCACCTGCCCTGTCAATCTCCGCCCTTATTACACTTCCCAGCCATTTGATCCCGTGCTCCCCCTCACGTGACCCTGTCAACGTTTGTCTCCTCAATCATCATGAGCACGTCCATTAATAACCATGGTTCCGGGGTCACCATACTGTCCCACTATCGCTCCGTGCTGTTTTGACACATGTGTAGTGTGAGTCACGAGACACACACAGAGATCTGGAGGCACCACGATTTATTAGCAACTATCAGGGCTACGGGTTAACTACACTCTGGGTTATCCTAGACCCCGCCGGGTCTCTATGTAACATAACTCCCCGACGACTGGCTACCCTAGAACCAAACAAAGCGACGTCGCACGGTGAGTTCCCTCTCTCAGACAACCATAATCGCTCCGCCCCCATCCCTCTTATCCTCTTGGGCGTGGCCACGCTCCGCCTCCAGCTACGCCCCCCTGCTCAGACTCTCCCAACGGAACCAGGGCCAGCGTCACGTGTCCTTAGAGCTCCCTTTTCCGGGCCCCCTTCACTACCCCATGACGGCACGTGCCCTCTCTCTGCGACGAGACAATGCTCTCTCGGGCCCGCTTCTCCGCCATGTCTCCGCCGGCACCAGAGAGAGGTACGCACGTACTAATTTACAAGTTGTGGGTGTAGCCGGTGTGCACGCCATAGAGACTCTATTTACATCTCTACACATGTGTAGTGACATAGAATGGGTCACTATGATGCGTAGCACTGGTTACTGACAGAGAGAGGGAATGTGGGCCGACCTGCCGGCAGAGCAGGATGTGGCAGCCGTTCTGCCAGCAGAGAATGCAATGCTATGGAGTGGGTCACTAGGGTGCATGGCGCTGGCTGCTGGCAAAAATGGGCATATGAGGACGTGGCACCCCGGCCGGCTAGTGGAGCACGTGATAGGCCAGGGTAAAGGATGTGGGGCAAAGGTGACTGAGGGGACACGTGATGTATAGCCCAGAAACTTCTGGTTTGTTCAAGAAGGGGGCATAGCCAAGGGCAGAGCCAGGCAGGGAACACGTGGAAGGTGGCCCAGAACCGTCTGGTAGTTTCCAAAAGGGGGCGTGGCCAATGGCGGGGCCAGGCCACGACGGGGGGGTGGGGGCATTGAAGGGAAGTCCCGACGCTGGATGAGGGCTGTCTGTCTGTGGAATGGAACCCAAGGTGCTACATCTTCGTCTCTGGCGTCGTGGATTCAGACAGCGTGCTGGCTGTTTTGATCCATTTATAGTTATTCCGTGTGTGAACAATGTCCCAAGGTGTAGAACGAACGTGTGTTGCATCCTACTATTAGTGTCTCAGAAGTGACTCACTACACATGGGGCACGTGGGCTCTCAATATAAAGTAGTTCCACCTTTTGTAAATGGATGCGATTCTGCTGGAATATTGGCAGCTAACTGATTGAAAAGATTATCATACAAAAAATAACGATTTCATTCAAAATGAACAATATAACGTTGCACTTGAGGAATAAAATGTTTAGTCAATGCTTACTGTATACTATTAGATAGCTTAAAAACGTGGTAACAAATAAAAAAAACGTCAACCTGATGCAAAGAAAGCACGGAGAGTTCTAAAATAATAATTCACGCCTGTTTAAATAAAGAGCATATGGATTAAAACACAGATCCAGGTTAGAGGTAGCATTCTGACTGTTAACCATACGTAAGTGGGGCATGGGTAAGATTCGTCGCTGAAACTATGGAATTCGCATTCATTTCAATTGCCTTAGTCCGCTGTCGTGATTAAGCAGGTGGAAATTCTGTCCAGAGTGTTCCTATTTAAATTCTAAAAAGGAAACATCATTTCACAAAGCCCATAGGACCGCGTAGAAGAAAGAAAAAAAGCAATTTTTCATTTCTATGCCCTTTCAGTCAGTTCAAGAATAGCTCAAAGGACGGCTCGTGAGAAATGTCACGCGACAAAATTGTGAGCATAGCTCACAAGCTAAATATATAAATTAACACAAGCAGCCCTCAACGTTAGCAACCTCTGCTCTCGTCGCATCTCATGATGACGTATATCTCCTTCCGTTTGCTGCTTGGATTCGTCCACCTAAGTGTTGCTCTGTTGGACTTATACCGCACATCACGTTAACTAATACAAAGTGAACGTGTCTACGTGTCTAAACCAGTCGTCTCACCAACAGCAATTTGCACTCGCAGTGTGAAAAAAAAAATGCAGGATTAATGTTTTCACGAATAAGGCTATTGTTCTCATAAACTTTAATACACAAACACCGAATGTGACATTGTAGATGTAAGTGCCCCGAGGTGCAATTACAGGGTGAGGTTAAATTAAAGTAATGCCTTTGATTGACAGACCCGTCTTTGTAAGTGGGCTGCGTATTATTTCCTGACGGTTTTGACTCGTGCCGCACCCACACGAACTCGTTCGGCATTATATTTGAGAAACTCTGAATGCACATTAGCCTGCTGATTTACAGGGCGAACAGTCTTTATTTAAACTGGAAGAATCCGATGAGCTATGCAGTTCTTTTCACCGGCGTCCAGTAGGTGTGGGTCAGAAAGTTAGAACAAGAAACAATACAAAAACACGATAGCAGTGCAAAGTTCCGGAAATCTAAGCAAGTCACGAAATATAAATAAAAAAGAGATATAGTATATACGTACCAATTGCATAATTTTGGGTTCGTGAGCTTTTGAAATAAAATATTTCCACTTTTCTAGAAATGGACATGAATCTCAAGGAATCAATGACTGAACATGTTTTACCAGTTTATCGAAAACTTATTTACAGAACAACATTTTACAGTTTTTTTTACAGCGGGTTTGCTGACGTCACATTCAGCAATTATGCGAGACAGGTGTGTTACTCTGACGTCGATTGAACGCCTGCATCCGATTGGCCACATGGGGCCCAGCCACCAACATCCGGTGGCCTCCAGCATGAGCATATATATTATAAGAGATGCCAGGAGCCTTCCTGAGACCACTGCTGGTGCCCGGGCCTGACGCTGAGAGAAGGGGGTGACTCAATCACTGAAATTCACAGGGTGAGTATTCGTGGTGAGTTGTGGATGTGGGGTGTGGTGACCTCCTGCCAGCGGGCGTTCGACACTTCACGTGGCCCTCAAGGTGCACATGCCCTGGCACAAGCGTCGTGGTGACGTCACCGCCACTTAGTGGCGAATGGCGGTTGTTGTGGTGAGCAACAGTGTAGTGTTCTAGATTTGAAGTTTTCGTGACTGCAAGGACTTCAGTAAAAAAATATTGCTGTGGTTGTCACACCTGATGATGATGGCTTGTGTTGCATTCGATTTAATTTATTGTTTTGTTTTCACTGTTTTTATCACCTACGTGACTTTACCGAAAGAACCAAAGAGTATGGAACAGTGTAGCGGTTAGCACGCTGCGCTATAAACCCAGCGGCCTGAGTTCGATTTCACTCACGCCCAAAACCAGTAACAATTTTCTGAACTGGTCCTGGGTCTCTCCTAGGTCAACTCAGCTTAAAATAAGTACCTGGTGTGGTGTGTAAACATCATAGGTACTCGCTAACAGCACTTTCCCCAATAGTCTGTATAGCCTATACTGGGATATTTGTGTTTGGTGTAGGGTGTGATGTGTATGGTGTGGGGAACTGGGTGTCTGTGGGGAAGTTTGGTTTGGGATTGTATGTGTCTATGGTGAGCGGTGGTGCAGCGGATAATTGCACTGCGCTTTGACCCGAGTTTGATTCCCGCAGTTACAACTATCTCAACTGGTCCTTCGCCTCCCTTAGGTCGATCAGCCTTTAATAACTACCTGGTGCACTTTATAAATATAATCACTGACGAAGGTGGTGCTGGTGTTGGAGCAAACGCTGTTAGCAACCACGTATGAAGGCCGGCATGGTACACGAGGGGGTGAGTGGCCAGCACAACGCCCGGCCGCCTTTGTCTCCCCAAGTGGCAATGTTGACACATCACATCAGGTACCTATTTGAGGATGATTCAACCTAGGGGAAGCCCATGACTGTTTAGATAATCCGTCACTGGTGTTGGTGGTGGCCGTGAGCAGGAATTGAAATCGGGTCACTGGGGATCGCAAGCATAGTGAGCTAACTATTGCAGCACCGGTCCCCAAAACATGTGTTTGTCATCCAGGGTTACGCAGACCCCTGGGGTTACATGGCAATGTCCCAGGGGGTACACGAGGTGATTTATTAATGTGTGAAATTATATCATAACCCGAGCAATTGGTGAATAATCATGTATGAATCTACCAATATAAAATTACCACGATTATATTTGAATACATTTGGTAACCTACGAACATATAAAATACCTTTCTAAACTCGTTGATCGGAACAATGTGGTTTTCAAGAGTAACCAGCAAGCACAAAGTAATAACATCACGCATGCAAAGCGTCCGTTGATTTTTTTTGTATTTGCTTGCAGTTACTTGCCAGTTAGGATACCTCATTAAGTGCAAAATTGGGTTAAACTATTGACATTCATTATTCATACATTTCTCAGAAACATGTCGGGTCAGGCAAAGGGGGTTACTCGGTTGAAACAAAATTCAACGAGGAGGTACAGCAGTAGCCAAACAAGGTTGAGAACCACTGCCCTAAACGACTCCCTTCTCACCCCTATTCACACTCACTTTAGCGTCACCTCAACCTCACCACACTCACCCCCCGCTTCCCCCAATTTGCATTCACCTCAACCTCACCGCGTAAACCCTCGCACTACACTACGCCTCGCACACTACACTATACACCACACACTACAATATTTACCACAAAGACAATATTTACAACACACTCCTGTACACTATATGCTACCCACACTAAATTATACACACTACATTACAATACACACTAAACTATGCACCACCCATATTGCACCATACACTTTCTTTCAAACAGTGTTTTTGCATTGAGTCTGTTGTCCTTCCTGCGTACGTATAGATCAGCACGGCTGGCTACGTATTGTATACACATTTTTCATCATACGATATGCAACACTCTGCATTGTACTATACAATGCATTCCACTATACACATTATGATACACGCTACACGATTAAACCAGATTCTCAGTTGCAGTAAGTGATCAAAGTCACCAGTGACCCTGATCAGAAGACATTTAATTCCAAGCTTAATTTGGCAGAATGCTTGTCTCTCGGGATGTACAGGCAGCTGGATGTGGTGCTGGTCAGATCACCCCTTTGTGTGCTTTGTAAGCTTAATTAAGGTGCTTACAGCACATGTTGCCTGTTTGGCTCAATGCATGCCTCTGTGTCTGTGGGCAGGTGAACCATGTTGGGGCCGTTTGTGATCCTGTTGTTTGTGAGTTCAGGTAAGGATTTATAACTCGTTTACTCGTAAACTTTTACCTGCTCACTCATCCAGATCACGTACCCATTAACCCTTACAAATACACCCTCAACCGATGGCACCTCAGCCAGACACTCACAGGGAGTGACTACTTATTCCAATATTTGAAGCACGACAGCCCCGTAGGGTGATCCCCACCTCGCCCCATGATGTTTTATGAGGGATTTCCCCTCCCCTAATACCTCACAGTAAGCTCAGAAAATCTGCAAACATGTTCCTGGTGGTTGGAGATCAGATCACCATTCTTTCCCCTAAGGACGATGATAGGTGTGGTGCTGCAAGTAACTTAATTTTATGGAATTAAAGAGTGATTTGTGATCACGGGCTACTGAGGCAGATTCCATCTTCTCAGCAACCCGTGACCACCACTCATCCTTGCAGCGCCACCCAGCTCATCGAACCTACGAGCGAAGGCTGCTGGAACCCTCCTCACTCTTCGACGTGGGATGCTGTAGATGGTAGGAGTGTCCCTGTCGCTTTTTCTCAGCTAACTGGAACACGTCCTCTGTGAGGCAAGGCCTCTATAGGTTTAAACCACGTACCCAAAGCAGCCATTGCAGCTGTATGAACCACAGTCCTTTAACGTTAACCATTTATCCTAGTCATCAGGAGAACGGGGGGTGGGGGGGGGGTGCCAACACCAGCTGCCAGCGATGATGCAATTCTCACTTTTAACGTTCATCAGCTAGCTGAGACCAGGCCACTGTGGGTTTGAATGGGGTCCAAGGTGGACATCCACCACCACAGTGGAAGAATGGTTGGGGCATTTTACAGATGACAAGTCGATGGTCAGTGGGCAAATCGGTTGTACGGTAGGTCCTGGTGTCAAGGACATAGGTCCACATCCATTGTTGTCACTATATAGACCAGCACACAAGCTTAATTTGACCTTTAATTCATGGTTTCTTGGTAATTGAATTGAAGGTGGAGGGGTCATCAGCCCCTTGCACCCACCAGAGTCCCCGTTTGCCACTGCGGTGGCTGCAAGCACCATGAAGGGAACAGCTGATGGGAATTGGCCCTTTCCCCATGGCATTGGCCCTTTCCCCATGGCACAGCCATGACAGGGTTACCATCTGGCACCATCGAGGAGGTAGGGGGTTTTTATAAATTTTTATATATTTTTTCCTGCCTCAGCAGCTCTCCCGCTATATTTTTCACTTGATGACGATTGCTTGTGTTGCGATTGAAACGTCATGATATTGTTATTATTTTTAGTAGTTTTCTATCTACGTGGCTTTACCGAAAGACCCAAAGAATATGAATAGGTAGGGGTTTTTTTTGTTTAAACACCCACTCTCTCACCCATTCACCCACCTGCACAACCATTCACCTACCTATGAGATGCTTTTTTATTTGCGTCTGATGATATTGCTCCTGCAAATGATAATTCAGTTGCTTGCTGTGGATTATGATGATGCTGCTCATAATTCTGCTGATGTTACTGCTGACGATTGTTGCTATTTATGCTGCTGCTGCCAACGATTTTTCTCACGATGATTTTGCTGCTGCTACATTTGCTTCTTATGCTGATGATGTTGATTTTGCTGCTGCTGATGATGGTGGGGGTGTGACCGTGTGCCGCGACCCAGCAGCCGCGGCAGACTCGGCGTGCACGGGCCAGGGCGGCGAGTGTCTGGACTGGCGCACCACCGTGTGCCGTGCAGGGGTCGCCACGAGCCTCTGCAACGGGGACTCAAACCGCCGCTGCTGCCTCCAGTGCAACTCGGCCTGTAGGTGGTGGGACCCAGTGAGACACCAGAGATCAGCGGTTACAAGGATTGGAGTTTTGAGACCGAGGACCAGATATTATAGTCCTGTGACTGGTATCAGGATTAATGTCTTAAGTGAGCCATAGTATCAAATTTAGGGTATTGAAAGAGTCTCAGAGAAACTATGGTTCATCGTCAGTCTTCAGACCGAAAGTTAAAGGATCGACGTTCTGAGACTGGGTATGAAGGTGATTCAGGATTGCAACCCTAAGACCAGGGATCAGGGTCAGAGTTTTGAATGAGATTCAGTAAGACCAGGTCTCAAGGATTAGAGTGCCAATTCAGACTTCAGAGAGACCAGGTTTCAAGGATTGGATGGCATCTCTAGTACAGGGGCCTGTGTGTGAAGACATTGCAAGGCCACACCTGTACCGTCACCTCGTCTATTTAATACCCAATGTATTTCCCTCAGGTGTCTCTAATGAGCAATCATGGTCAGCCAATGATGGGCAGTGCACCGACATGGGTGGAAAGTGTCAGGTCAACTCCAACTACTGTGGAGGCAGCTACTCCTCGGGGTTGTGTGGGGGGCCCAACAACCGGCAGTGCTGCATCGAATCTCAGTCAGGTGAGGGTGGTTCGTAATGGCCGTGTCAGAATACATTATTGTGCTGACTATGCATCTACATTGCCTTTTTTTCCCACTATCACAACTGAGCCATGCTGGGGCTGTGCAGAGCCAGACTAGCCTGGCTCAGTAGACGCCAGTGGTGCATAAGCCGAGCCGTGCCATGTCGCTGACATCACATGTATGTATGTTGAACTTCTTTGGCACCGTACGTAGCCAACCATGCTAATTGGAGGTGAGGAGGAAGGACAAGAAACTAAACACAACAAGTGGTGAACAAGCCGAGATGCGTGTAGGTGACGCAGGGATGCCATATCCTCATGGCCTAGTGAATGACGTCACACGCATTGAATGTGTCAACCCAATGATGAGTGATACTGTGGTGCATTGTGGGTAAATTACTTTTACACACTTTTTAAATCCTTTATATTAAGTTCACTTGCTTGCTTGCGCGCTTACGACCGTGCAAATCTTTCGGTCGTTTTTTAACCCACTTCCCATGATCCAATCGAGCTGACATTTTGCACACAGACTCGTTGTGCGTGACAATTTCGTTTCGTGAAATTTTTTTCCAAAATTTTACACTTTTTAGGGAATTTTTTTTTATATTACCAATTGCTTAATGGTGGCAGGCAATCATCTGACCCATAGGTGGCAGCCATCTCAAGCCAGAGGACGAGAGGACTCTAGCCGCCACGCATATAAAGGATTTATAGTGAAAAACTTTGTTTTTATGGGTGAATTTTTTTGTCACTGCTTAATGAGGTCCTCCTTCAGGTCGCGCAGGTTAATTTGGCCATGCATCACGATAACGATCATCAGTGCGGGTTGGCAAAAGTAGGTTGCATGCTTATAGGCGTGGGAGCATGATTGTCTTGTAAATTGACGCAGTCTGCTGCTGCATTGCACCACGTGACACGTCGGAAGGTGAAGGTACAAATACTGACTGACTGTGGGTTGGTGATTGTGTTCCGATAGGAGGGAGTGGAACCGGTTGCTATGGTGACCTGATGAACATTGACACAACGGGAGCTTCGATTAAGACTGCCAAACAAGACAAGCTGAGCGAGAGGGGTAAGACGAGTTAGCGAGCGTCCATTAATAAGTGTTTCGACTTCTAATGCACGCCACAAAGCATTTTCTCAGTCTTGGAGACAGAGAGACAATGACTCAGAAGCACGAGCAGAAACCATAGACGAGTGGAAAGGCAGTATCAGCAATGCGGTGATGAGTCATCACTACTAAAAATTACCCAAGATCTGCAACTATATATATTAAACTTTTTTTTCAGCTAATTAAAGAGTGTTAATACATGTGGGAGGAAACTGGAGTGTCCAGAAAAAACCCACGCATGTGTAGAGGTGTAATTGCGCATGGCTACGAATGTTGAGGTGTGATTATGCATGGCCACGGATGGCCAACAAACACAATGGGCGGGGTTACGGCCGTACACAAGGGTGGCGCTAGCACCGACGTCCGCATGTGTATCCCCCACGGGCCCCCCCTCGGGGGCGAGTCCTATAAAAGGTGATGAGCTCGAGGGCTCGAGGTCGGGACTCAGCTTTAACCAGAGAAGACGGAAGACCAGCTAGTGTAGGCCCCAGAGCTCCCCTGGCTCGCTGTCCTTATAAGGGCCGACCAGGGCAAGCCGGTGGCGTGGCCCCGAGAGCCCAGACGAAGCTGGTCTGGTGACTCAGGGAGCCGGGATCCCAGCTTAACCAAGCTGGGACAGATAGCCTCCCCTAGTCCCGTAGTGGAGGAATTGGTATAGGTTAGAGGGGTTAGCTGTCGAGAATCCCTGTAGCCAAGTGACCTGTACAACTGTGTTGGTGTAATAAAGAAGTGTGCCTCCGATCCTGTCGTCAAGCCTCCATATATACTTACTACATCTGGTGTCAGAAGTAAACGTCCAACGATGGACACACGAGGGACGACACGTACCAGGGAGTCGGAGATGGAAGACGCCGCGGCCGAATCTCCACCAGTGATGGCCGGGGTCGAATCGGAGCAGCCGGGGCCGAGTACGCCCGCGCCGCTACGACAGGAGGAGGGGGATGCGTCGGCCGAAGGACTCCGGCTGGCCCACTCCCGCCTGGCGGACCTGCTCTACGCCGCGGCCGCCGCGTTGGAGGAGATCACGCGGCTGGGGGCTGGAGGAGCAGCGCGGGTCGACGACGGCAGCCGGCGCGGGGCGACGTTTCCCGCCACCCCGACGCGGCTCGCGGTCAAATTTCCCGCCATCTCTACAGTACGAGCGGAGGGCGGGGCCGGCCCGCGTCACGTGTCTGCTGAGCGCCAAGCACAAGCCGTGACATCATCAACGCCGGCCGGCGCGTCAACATCAGAGCGACCGGCGATGCCATGTGCACGGCCCGCCCACACTGTATCATCGGCGGGGAGCGACGGAGAGCGTTCTGCGGCCACGGACGCCGCCTTACAACAGCGTCTGCCGCCTCTTAAAGAATTTGTCGGCGCTGACGGAGACTGGGGCGGCTTCAAGAGGCGGTTCATCGCTCATCAAGAGATGGCGAACTGGTCGGACGCCGAGGCTCTACGCGCGCTGCCAGCGATGCTGGACAACGACGCCCTGGCTACCCTCACCTCGGCGCCGAGGGAAAAGCGCGCCACTCTACACCTGGCGTTGCAGCTGCTGTCAGCCGTCTATGGGCCGCCTTCGGACTGCAGGCAGCTGTTCCACGATCGGAGTCGGGGCGCCAACGAGTCACCCCTGGCCTTCCGGACGGCTCTCCTGGCTCTGGCAAAGGCTGCTTTCCCAAGGATGGACGAGGAAGGAGTGGATGCCATGGTGGCTGAGAAGCTGCTGCTACTCGCTGACGAGCTGGACGTCAACGTCTTGGCTCAGGACGACGCGGAGATGTCGTCCCTGCTGGTCGCGCGCCACATCCACGGGGGCTTGCGGTCCCTGCGTCGGAAGGCGGCAAAGGGGGCGGCCGGCCATGCCATGGCGACCACCGCCCTCCCATCGGAGGAGGTCTGCGGGGTGGAGCGGCGAGGGGAATGGAGATCGGCGGCACCGCAGGCTCGGAATGGACCGAGCCGCCAGGAGCAGCCCAGGTCATCTGGGGCGCTCACACGCTGCTACAACTGTGGCCTGCAAGGCCACGTTGCGTCTGGATGCCGGGCTCCCCGTCAGCGCGGGGCGACACCTCGCCAGGACGCCACGCCGTCTCCTCCCAAGCTCCAGCAGAGAAATACGGCGAGTCGCGGCACCTCACACGTTTGGCCCACGCACACATCCGACACACACTCACGCGCTCAACTAAACAGGGCTCCAAATTCCCCGTCCGTCGCGCGCGATTGTTCGGTAATGCGGCGAGCGCTCCAACCGGGTCAGTGGTCGGAGCTCGCCCATCGTGTCGTTGCTGCGTCGGCGGGATCATCGGTCGTGGTCGGTCACATTGATGGGGTAGAGGTGCGGATTTTAATTGACACAGGGGCATCGGCGACCATTATATCTGATTTAATTTATAACATCCTTCCCGTTCAAAGTCGTCCCTTGCTCCCTGTTGACGTGCCGTGCTATGCCGCTAACGGGGGCTCTCTGGGCATTATTGGCCAAATCCGCGCCACTATCTGCATTGGGGACATTAAATTATCCGGCCCTGTTTTGGTTTCCTCCTCACTCGCGGTTCCGTGCCTGTTGGGGACGGATTTTCTGGCCAAAATGCCCATCCGTATCCTTATTGACCAAGGGTGCATTGAGCTCCCATCGGGCCGACGCGTTACATTTCTGTCTTCCCCCACCACGGAGCGTCGGGCGTTTGCCACCGTGCAGGCGCTCGTCACAAAAACTGTGCGCGTGCCTCCGGGGGCTCAGATGCTCGTCCCTCTTAGGTTGCGTCGGCCGTTTGATGCAGGGGTTGCGGATCGGGGGGTCTTGTTGGGTCCATCTCGGGCCGGGGTCAATGGACCCGATTTGCTCGCGGCTCAGACTATGGTGAGAGGGGATGGGGACCCCTTCATTGCAGTCCTTAATGTGGGATCGCGAACGGCCGTGGTTCCTCAAGGGACCGTGCTTGCACACGCAACGCCGGTGCCCTGTGAGGAACCACTCGTGGGTCAGGTATCCACCGATCCTCCGTCGCGACCGCATTCGGACTCTGATGACGGATGGCTGGATGCGCTTTGCGCGGGTTCAGTGGACCTGTCTGACTCGCAGCGCGCGCAGCTGCGAGTTCTCCTGAGCGAATTTGCTGACGTTTTTAGTCAACACAAATTTGATATTGGTTGTACAAAATTGCTGCGACACCATATTGACACGGGTGACAGCGCGCCAATCCGCCAAAATCCCTTTCGGTTGAGTCCCGCCGAAAAGGATCATGTCAAATCGGCTGTTGATGACATGCTAGCCGCCGATATCATTTCCCCTTCCACCAGCCCGTGGGGCGCGCCGATCGTTTTGGTGAAGAAACACGACGGCTCACTGAGATTTTGTGTTGACTTTCGGCGTCTCAACAAAATCTCTGTGGCAGATGCGTACCCGCTTCCTCGGATGGATGAGTCGCTCGACGCCTTGGCCGGTGCACGATTCTTTTCCACCCTTGATTTGCTATCTGGATTCTGGCAGCTTCCTCTGGATGACGAATCGAAACCTAAGACTGCTTTTCGTACACCGCAGGGCCTCTTCCAATTTAACCGTTTGCCGATGGGTTTACATTCTGCGCCGGCAACTTTTCAGCGGTTAATGGAATTGGTCTTGGCAGGTTTGCAATGGGATTCGTGTTTGATTTACTTAGACGATGTCATCGTCTTTAGCAAATCCTTCGAGGAACACCTCCAGAGGTTGCGTGCTGTTTTTCTCAAAATGCGGGCTGCCAATTTGAAATTTAAACCACAGAAGTGTCATTTACTCCGCGAATCGGTGCGATATTTGGGTCACATTGTTGGGCGCTCGGGGATATCCACTGATCCCGCCAAAACGGAATGCGTCAGCTCCTGGCCGACTCCCACCTCTGTGGGAGAGGTCAGGAGTTTCATTGGGTTCGCGTCGTATTATCGGCGATTTGTGGCTGACTTCGCTACGATTGCGAAACCATTGCATGCCTTGACGTCCAAGGGAGTCAGGTTTCATTGGGGGCCGGAGGAGGAGGCTGCTTTTCGCGCCCTCAGAAATGCTTTGGTGGGAGCTCCGCCGTTGAATTACCCGGATTTTTCACAACCCTTCTTGCTCGATACTGACGCAAGTAACACGGGCATCGGGGGTGTGCTGTCCCAGCTCATCGGGGGCGTAGAGCATGTGGTGGCTTACGGTAGTCGGGTACTGTCTCCAGCCGAACAGCGGTACTGCGTTACCCGTCGGGAATTATTGGCCATTGTTTATTTCATTCAGCAGTACCGCCCGTATCTGTACGGTCGGCGGTTCACCGTCCGTACAGATCATGCGGCCCTACAGTACGCCCTGCGGGTTCAACAACCATCGGGCCAGTTGTCTCGATGGTTGGAGATCCTCCAAGACTATGACTTTGTCACCACATATCGTAAGGGTGTCCGCCACACGAACGCTGACGCCCTGTCACGATTGCCACCCACTTCGGAGTGCGCGTGCCTGTTGGGTTCGGGGCGTTGTAGGCCCCCGAACGTCACCACCGATTCGGTCCTCGTGGCCGCTACCGATGCACCTTCGGCTTCGGGTCCTATCGAGCAAGAAGGGAGGGATTCGTTGCTGGGGTTGCCGGTCGCGGAATGGGGACGCCTCCAAATGGAGGACACCTCCCTCCTCGCTTTGCGCCGTCGCGTCGGGGGGGCTGGTCAGGGGGTGGAAAACGTTGACTCGTGGGGGTTGTTCCAGGGTCTTTTGATGCACTGGGATGGAAAAACCCGGCGCCAGCGGCTTGTGGTGCCTGCTGCTTTAAGGGGTAAGGTGGTATGGGCTGTTCATGAGCGGCTTCTGCACTTGGGGGTTCACAAGACCTTTGCCACGCTCCAGCTGGATTTCTTCTGGCCGGGCATGGAAAAGGACGTGGGGGATCTCTTGGGGTCATGCACGCAATGCGCGCAGAGGAAGCCGCCTGCGAGGGGGTCCAACCCTCCGCTGCAGTCCATAAAAGTTTCCC